AAAAAAAAAACAGATCGATTGATCAATTAGTTACGTAGTTATAGCCGTCATTTACACTAAATGTACTGGGACATCCAGACTAATTTTTCGAAAAATACCTTTGGTATTCCGAGTACTTACCAGGTCTAAGATTACAATACTTTTCTTCATTGACAATCTACTTTAAAACGAGTTTAAAGTTATTTATGCAAGCGAGAAATTCAATAAAATCGTACGGGTGGTGGTGGTGGGGGAAGCAGAGAGCGCGGCCGCTTCGGCCTGCTCAAAATTGAATCGGCTATAACTACGTAACTAATTGATCGATCGTTCTGTTTTTTTTTTAAAGAAGTGTCTTTCCAAGAACTTTTAAAACCTGCTTTAAAAAAATTGATTTGATTGAATATTCACAAAGTTCTAATTGTTTATAAGTACAAAAATTCGACCAATGTTTAAACAAGCGCCAGAGCTCTCCTAATTGACTGATTCGAATTTTTCAACAAAAGTTTGAAAGTTTGAGAGCCCTTCTATATGTGATTAAATTTTCAAGTATCTAATGGCCTTGGTTTTTGCTGTGCAAAAATTTGAATATTTGCAATTTTTTTTCAAAATCTGGATTGCTAATTTATTATGCAAAATCTATCGTACCGATTTTGATGAAGTTTGGCGTAATAATTCTACATAACATGAAGTTTTTTTGAGCCAAGTATAAAGGTCCTATACCCAATTTAAATACCCCAAAAAAATCCCTAAATAGTATTGTTTTTTAACCGCATTTTTGCGATTTTTAACATAATAAACATGACTCAATCGATTCGTAACTAGACATGTTTTGTAAAATATTTAATTGCAAACATTTTTTTCCACTTCCATTTTCGCCTAAAACCAACTCTTGAAAATATACATAAATTAAATTGAAGAAAAATATGACATTTTTCGAATTTTTTAAACATATTGTGCTGCCAAAAGTTAAGCCCACGTTTTTTTTTATGCTCATAGAAAAATTTTCATTTCTAGTGATATTTGAAAGCCAAAAAAATATGGCTCTTTGAAACAGATACCGTCTGGACTATGTAATATAATAGAGAATTTTAATTTAAAGATGAAAATACTACTATACTCCGCGGTCGAAATTATAGAGAGTGACTCATCGCTAGCTTTTGGACTAGTAAGGGGGATGAAGCCTGCCGGGAACGAAAATCTATTGGCGTATCTGCGTAAAAGGCAACAAAATATAGAGAATATTGAAAAGAGATAATAAAACATAACCATCTAATATTTTTTTACGGTTTGCTATAACCGGCACTTTGATCCATTTTAATTATTACAGCATTTTAAAATGTCCCAGTTGTGTTTTTTTAATTTTTAAATTTATTATAGCCATTGAATTAGACCCCTCGTCTACGCTTATGCCATGACGTTTCTCAGGACGAATAAATCAAGTCCGTTTACACCCACTAAAAAAGCATTTCCCTATTCCCTAACAAGTGCAAAAGACAGAGATAGAATACAGATCGACGTTCAATGTAACTCAGCCTATAGACGATTATAGATTCTATCGATGTGCGTAGCGAGCGGCACAAAGATAAATAATATTGAACCGTATAAAAATCATTTCATATTTTATACGCATTCTGGTAATAGTGTTTTTATATTATGTCTGAGTCACTCTCTATAATTTCGACCGCGGAGTNTAATGGGGGCCACTTTGAACATTTGCCGTAATAAAATAAAAAGTAGTACTAAATATATCATATATATTTAATTCCTCCATTTTTTGACAACTATAACAAAAAAAAAGTAGGTATAACCTTATACCACTGAATTCGCCTCTAGAAGGGCTATTTATTTATACTATACTATCTGTCAAAAAAATAGAAAATATTGCAGAAAAGTGACAATTTCTATTTACTAATTGACCTATTTCAGCGATTTTGTTAAATATTAACTGGAAAAAAAATATGAATTTTGTTCCATCATTTTAGGACACAATGTATATCATAATCATAATAAATATAACAAAATTAAAACTTCTATAATTAGATAGTTTCTACGAACTGACACAAAAATGTTGTCCTGCTTCATCATAATACAAACATTTCACCATAATACAAATGTTGTCTAGCTTTTCCATAAATTAAAACGATATGCATCAACTCCGTGTTGCTATACACGCAAGCCATTTTTGTCACTAATTACTAAAAAAAAACTATTGCAATAACGATAGTAAAATTGGATTTCGTATTGCGAATGACACTAGAGCCTACAGTTATCCAGCGATTTAATGCTTGAAAGTACTAAAATTTCAATAATTTTTTTCTCGGAAACTATAGATTTTACAAAAATTTTTTTACGATATTGATTCCATTTCTCATGCCGCGTCTATTCCCAAATTTTTTTGGATAAGTTGTAAATCACCCTGAATACTATTATTGAAAATAAAACTGCAGCGATTGAATTAGAAGCATTCATTTCCTACAATTTAGGGACCAAAAGTACTATTTTTGTTTCACGTTCTGCCAATCAGTTTCCAAATTTGTACCACAAATCTATTACTTTATTATACGAAATCTAATATATGGGTTTATTTAAAATGCATGTAATATAATAGAGAATTTTAATTTAAGGATGAAAATACTACTAGTAATATTTCAACGATTACTGTTGGAGGTTCTGAGTGGTGAAGCAAAATGTGCAAAAGAAGCGCAACGGGAGCACTATTACATTTATAATACTATTGTGTCGATTAACATCTACGTTTGTGTATACAGTTCTCAACAACATTGCACACAGTATGGATTTCAACCGCCAAATTATTACGACAAAAGTATTTGGGAGGCATGTATGAGAGAAAGAAATGTATACCCCAATAACAAGTTATTTGTATGCGAAATAAGAGGTAATGCCAACTTGTTGGAAAATAGTTTAGCAATAAATACATTAAACTATCATATTCGGTTTAGCGATGGACGTTTTGTAACCCAAAATTATTCTCTACTTTGGATTCCTAATATTTTCAAAGTTTTATATCGCAAACACGATGCCTTTTTCGATACATGGTCAGACACACGAAATCAAAGAAAGTACATCAATAACGAAAACAATTCCCTTAGGTTAACATCAGAAATAAAAGAATGGCCCTTTGTCGCATGGAAGACTGATCATAGTGGAATAATAGCTTCCACGGCTGACACCAACACTGCAATCGTTGAAAAATTAACTTATAGGTTTAAGGATATACCTTTTCACGATTGTGAAATATCCACAAAAATTCAAGAGAGTTGTACATACACATGTCTAACTGCATTAAGAACCTTATACATTTATACGTGTCCGACAAGAGTCAACATTTACTTTTGCCTTGCCAACCTTTCTGACAGCTGCGAGAAACTAGGATTCGGTGAATCTGTGAACGACACGTCACTATTAAATCAATGCTTGTACAATTTTTTCAATACATTCACATGCCTATATCAGAAATCAAATGTCACTGTGTGCCGAAAACAGCTCAAAATTGGTCTGAAGAATGACACATTGGAAAATATTCCTTCCGATTGTAAATACAGTGATGGGGTATGTCATTCAGAAAAAGCCTTTTGGTACAGTTATAATTGCACGTTCCAGAAAGTAAACAAAGGCTACAAAACGGAGATCCTGCGTGGAAAAGTTGTTATTAAATTTAACTCTACCCAAATGACTTTGGAAGAGGAGCGGGAAATGTGCGACGAAAAGGTGTGGTACACAAACAACAAATCTATAGTAGTATCCGAAACGAAGTTGCAATGCCATTCGAAGTATGATTTGAGCGTGACGGAAAAACTGCATTTCTGCGTCCAACACCTAAACAATATCGTGTCTGAACAGAAGGGAGACATCACTAATTTCCAAAGTGTATTGCAGTACTTAATGTTTGCTGCTCTGCTTTGTGTTCTGTGGTATATCTTTAACGTTACAGTAAATTTTTATTGTTTGTGGACATTGAGAAAGTCGCGTACCTCAAAGCATTACTCCTACCTGATGAACTGTGTATCTCAAAGTTTAACAAACCGATACCTGTATTTTCAAGAAAAGTGCAGTGAAAAATATGAATTTAATAGATTGCCGTCACTTTCACAGGTACACGAATCTGTCGAAAATGAATTGTATGGCAAATAAGATTGACTCTTTTGTAAATGCTTTGTTCTGGTGACTAATAATTTATCATTATCTACTTGCAAAATGAATAAATTTATATCTGGGAGGAAATAGGTAGACCACGGTTATCAAGGCACTGAAAATTGTGTAAAAGTATGTGTCAGTTGATTTTAAGCTGTTATAACGGTGTTTTGAGAAGCATTATATCAAAGGTAGGATTATTTTTAATATGGCATGCTCTCTGAGATGTATTCATTTACTATACAGGGTGTTTCATAATAATGTGCAACTATTTTAAGGAGGTGTTTAGAAAGTAATTTTAGGGGGTAACATTTTTTCGATTTGAGCCCCCCTTGAGAAAATATTCAAATCTCAAAATGGCCGAAAATATTGGCTTTTATTTTTTTTTATTAAATTTTTAGTTCGTATTTGCTTAGCTTTTCCTATTGATAAAAAAAAAATTGCAAAAAGCATGTCAAAAATGACAATCGTTTTTGGTAACTGTTATACTAATTATGAGTACCTAATCGGCAAGGAAAAATAATTTATTTTTTTGCTCGTAAACCATTAAGTATACGAAAAAATGGGAAGAGCAAAAAAGTTTCTAAATGAAATGTAGTAGTAAAAGCTATTTTTCTTGTTGGAATTGGCTAACGTAGAAAAAAGTTATGAGAGTAATAAAACCAAGGGGTGCTAATTTCTTTCATTCAAATCAAAAAAATATGTTAGAAGTACCCCCTCTAAAGTAACTTTCTAAACACTTCCTTAAAATATTTGCACATCATTATGAAACACTCTGTATATTTTCTCTGTGTCCGAAAATAATGCAATAAAATTCATATGTTTTTTCAATTCAGATTCTAAAAAATTCGCAGGTCAATTAGTACATAAATAGAAATTGTCACTTTTCTGCAATATTTTCTATTTTTTTGAGCCATGTTTGACAGACCTATAACATTACCAACATTTTCTTTAATAGGAGGCTCTATATTTTACAGTATAAATAGATAACCCTTCTAAACGAATTCAGCGATATATGGTTATACCTACTTTTTTGTCATAGTTGTCAACAAAATGTAAAAAATTGTCTTTTATGTCGTACTGACGACTGTTTCAAACAATCATACATATGTACCTACTCTTTATTAATCTTTTTCTATTTACTTTGACCCTTTGTGGCCTGAATTATCTCGTGTTTTCTAAAAGTATATTTTTTAAAATCTTTGATTATTCAACTATTGAAAAGGGTATACAAAACTTATATATTATACAAAAAATAGTTTTTATTATATAGAAAAAACAGAAAGATGTGGTTCCACTATGGAACCACAAGGAACATAAGTACATACATAATTTTTTATGGAATACGTAAAAACAGTTCGATTTATCAGTTAAGCAAAGTCAAATTTCGTCATATGTCCTGGGAATAAAACGGTTATTATTAGGTAAATGTTGCATATAAATTTGTTTCACACATTTTTTTCTATGAGCTCCTTTGTAAACAAACAGAAAAATATTAGTTGGTGAATCTGCAGGTTCGGGCATATTTGGTCCACTGGTTTTTTTCAAAAGAATGCGAGGTGTTAGCGTGTGCCGAATTACTAGTCCACTGATGTATGAATGTCGCCAAAAGAAAATCATCCTCACTGTCGTAATCCAAAACTTCTTTGCTTGTTGGTACTGGCAAATCAGGTATATATTCTGACAAATCTTCAATTGAGTTCATAAGACACTCATCTGCATCAATTTCATCTTCTGATGGTGCCTCAGAGGTAATGGAGCCCGTATCGGAAGGTATCTCATCCAACATAACAAACGCCTCATCAGAACTCATAAGAAAATTAATTAATTTGTGTAGCCTAGTGGTCCCAAATGGAACCACAGTATATTTACTAGAAAATAAAAGTTTTAGCTATAAAAAACCATCAACATTTTGACACAAAACTGTACTAGAATGCATATTTAAAAGAATAAGATCATAATCTTACGTGACGTGGTGTTTTTCCCTAATAAGAGACTATCTCTAAACACGTGCAAAAACCGTCGTGCGAGACTCACAAACAACAACTGAGAAACGAATAAACACAACGCGCAACATTTGAATTAAGGAGGGGGGAATGACGCCTAAAGAAGAATATATCATGTGGTTCCACCTAGCACTTACTAGGCCGCTTCTACGACATAGTTTGAACTGTGGTTCTAATAAGGCACCACTAGCCCACAAAGGGACTAAAAAAAAACACATCGATAAACACATAAAATTCACCAGAGTACCTTAGGTACTCATATATCGTGAATCGTTTTAGTTCCAAATCATTCGTTGTTAAGTTATTTTGAAAAAGGTTGTCCGTTTAAGCGAAAAACAAAGAATTAAAATTTTAATTGATGCGGAGATAAAATCCGTAGTCAAAAGGATTTTTCGCCATAAGTATCCAGACCAGAGAATTAGTCGAGCTTTAATAAGTAAAGTATCGAAAAAGTTTGAAAAAAACGGTATAAAAGATTTAGGTACCTGGATCAGAAAGGCAAAGAATGGTAAGCGAAAATAACCATCAAAATGTGATGCTCGCCGTTACTCAATATCCTCACTCAGACAGATGATTACTGTTTTGCAACGAAATTAAAAATGTATTTCAAAGACAACCCAACTTAAAACATCAGATAATTTTCACTGACGAAGCAACTTTTTTCTAAAACGGAACCGTGAACAGGCAAAATAATAGGTTTTGGAGTCCAGAAAATCCGCATTGGATGCAAGAAAAACATACACAACGACCGAAAAAAGTTAATGTTTGGGCTGGAATAGCAGGAAATCGCATACTGGGACCTTATTTCTTTGAGGGCAATTTAACAGGCGACATTTACTTGGATTTTTTGCATTTTCAGCTGATTCCAGCCCTGGAATTATTTTTTCCTAACCCTAATGAGCACGATATGCCTGCTGGTGATGTCTGGTTCCAACAAGATGGTGCCCCTTCCCATTTTCGCTTCGATGTAAGAAATTATCTTAATGAAGTTTTCCCAGATCGATGGACAGGCCGAAGAGGGCCGCTTGAAAAGCCACCAGGCTCCCCTTACTTAACCCCATTAGATTTTTTTGTGGGGTTATCTAAAAGCTGAATGTATGTGAACAGACAAGACACTATCGAAGGATTCAAAAATCGTATCAGAGTAGAAGTTCGAAACATTACATAAAATGTTATTCAAAATGTAGTTGATAACTTTGATCACTGAATTAGGCATTGTGCAATGGTTAATGGGGTCCACATTGAACATTTGCTGTTATAAAATAAAAAGTAGTATTAAATTATTGTTTTCATTTAGGTAATTCTTATATTCTTTGACAACTGTGACAAAAAAGTAGGTATGACCTTATAGCACTGAATTCGTCTTTAGAATGGCTATCTATTTACACCATAAAATTTAGAGCGTCCTATAAAAAAATGCCGATATTGTTATAGGTGTGTCATACATGGCTCAAAAAAGTAGAAAATGTTTCAGAAGAGTGAAAATTTCTATTTACTAATTGTTCTATTTCAGCGATTTTTTTAAATTACAACTGGAAAAAAATATGAATTTTGTTCGGTATTTTTACTGAGTCAACTAGTTACAAATATGATTCTAAACTAGGCATATTTTTTCAATAAAAAGTTACAAATAATATAATTTAAATCCTTGACCTTGACAAGATCTTTATATAAGATTCTTTAATCGTCTTAATAGATGGATACTAGTGTTTAAATTGATTTTTTTTCTGTGGCTGTAATTGTTACCAAGAATAAGCCTACTAAATTTTTAAAAATGTATTCGCTGGTAAAAAGTTATGACAAATTATTTATTAATTAAAAAAATAACTTCGATAATATTGACTTCTCGAAACAGTGTCATTGAACCGTGTACTGTTCTTTTTATGAGTAGAATCACTATTATAGTTTGTTGCTCATAGTTTCCATATACCCGATATATTTTATGTTGTTTGTAAACCTACAGCAATTTAAATGTTCCGAGGCCTTTACTCGACCATGATGAACTGTAGTTTCCACTGAACAAAATATCACATTGATCTGTGAGATGAAAACTGTTGGACTTAGTACGCCACTGGATTCTATGATAAAATAGTCAACAAAACACAGTGTCAACATATCAGAAAAAAATTAAACTAGACAAGATATTTAACATATTCAGGGTGTTGCATGACGTACTGGAAAAACTTAGGGAATAAGTCCCTAAGGTCATTTTGAATAAAAAAGTTACAATATATATGGGTTCAATTCTTCGTGGTTACAAACGTCATTTTATGTAGTAAATTATTAGAACTTATTTCTAGCATAGATCTAATAGCATTATGGACTCGAAGCCGAATTTTTGCGCATTGTAGCTGTTCCAACATGAACAGCAATAGCGGCAGGCATTTGCCCTAAGTCACGTGACCTAGAATGCAAATCGCGCTACACTGATTTGAAAAGGAACTCTATTTCTTATTAGGAAATAGACTCTCTTTTTGGTAGGAACATAACAAATATTTATTTTTAAAGACAATAATAAGCTTTATTAAAATTGTATACTTCATAAAACAATATTTGTACATGAAACGTTTTTTAAATATGAATTAAATAGAAGGCAGTACCTACTAAATTATTACCTACTTTATTCAAATAGATAAGGAGACAACTACAATTGTTCAAGAAATAATTTGTGAATATTAATACTAATATTAATAAATAAGGAAATATATACTTTTTATTTACCCCCGCAGCTACATGCCATACTTAAAAGATAAAATACAATACATAAAACGTTTATAAAAACGACTTCCCCTTAAATATAACTACATATTTTTGAACAAATTTTGGGCAAGTAAAAAAAATAAATTATTCTGTTGCCGCACATATTAACATACAGGTATTATAATAAATGCAGCTTCATTCCTAACATCGATACTATAGGCCAAAGATGTAGTTCATACAGATTTAATACTGTTCAGCTAAATTGCTTTTGCTCAGGAAACATCGGGTCATAGGTAAGTCTGGAAATGCCCTAAGCCACGTGACCCGAAACTAATTTCATCTCATTTTACATGTTGTCTCCTACCCTCTCTCTATATTGCATCCATAGTATACTATGTTAGATCCATGGTTCCTAGTAATACCATTTTTGCCAAGTAAATCCTCAATTATAATTTTATTTACCGATAAGTCGCTGTTTACTCCAG